CAAAAAGAGATGAGTACCCACTGATGATAAGCATATTCTTTACTATTGCTTTTGCTTCTTTTCAGCGTAAAGAGAAAAGCGAGTGGAAAATATAAAACAGATTGAAAACGGAAAAAGAAAAGGTCGATTGGCTTTCTTGCTTGGAAATTGCATTGCTTGCAAATTGGTTTGGTAGAATTTTATTCTGAGAGCCCTCTTGAGCCCACAATGAAAAAACTAAAAAGGTAGCCAAGTTGCCGACGACATGTAGATAGTGCCAAAATAACACAGCCTGTCTAAAGATAAAGTTGGGAAAGCGATACAATATTGAAAACAGCAGAAAATAGATCAATATAAAAAATATAAGAAAGTATATAAGTTAATTTTTAGTTATATAAATTAATTGGTCATAATTTATCAAGTTATAATTTATAATTAGATAAGTTATGGATAAATTTGTCAAATTATAGTTCATAGTTAGACAAATTATGGATAAAAATTGTGAATTATGGACAATAACTTGTTAAGTTATGATTCATAATCAGACAAGTTATGGACAAAAACAATAATTTGACCTATTTATTAACTTATGTAAATTATTGGCCTATTAATTTTAATTTATCTCAAGTCTTAGCCTATTTTTCTCTTTCTCCCTATTGAAAATTGCTTAAATCGTACCACTTTTTAACTTTATTGCAATTCAATTCCAGTGGATAATTATCTGCTATATAATATATGGTGTGAAAGGACCATATTTCTTTTATTTGAATCTATATAAATCAAGTGGGAAATCTTCTCAACAATGCATTTGAAATTTTGAAGGCCTATTTTCAACCTTCGCCTATATATGTAATGAGATCCATTTTTTCAACGAACCAAATGCATTTTCTTTGGGGCATAAATGATGAATAATCAATATAGTCAAGACCGTGTGTTCTTCCACATGAATGTCCTTTTTCTCATCAATAAATTGAGAAACTTTGTTAAGTTAGATGCACGGAGAAAAAAAAATATATCTCGTTGATAATATAATGCCATTTTTTTTTCTTTTTTTTTTTTGTCAAAGTTTTCATTAGTCAATGTTTATATTGTTAACTCAACCAATAGAATATTTTCTTTGATGCCACAATAGATCAGTATTTTTTTTTGTACTCTATTATAAAATGCTCCATAAAAAATAAAAAAAAAATATAGCATGCAAATATTTTGATTATTTCTCAACTGCCGACAAGACACTATCGAAACAAAAGGTGTATGCTCAAGACTTTTTGATCGAGTGGCCCCTCAAATTCAAGAAAATATATAGTGGAATTCCCCATGTGGGACGCAAACTAATTAAATGATAAGCTGCAGATCAACCTCAACCGGACATTTTCATTGTTATACTTCAATCGTCTTATCAAAATTGTCCCTTCTCTGACGATAAGTACGGCTGCTTTAAGAAACATATGCTGAATCGTTGATGCTCATCAGCCATGACCCACCTCTTGACTTTTAAGTAATTTTTTTTTAATTTCCATTTTTGAGGAAAAATCCACATCATTGCGTCCTTATTCATTGAAAAGGAGTGCAGCGACGATTAATTTAAGATCCGTTTAGTTTTTTAATTTAAATTTTTAAGTGATTTTATATGAGAATTTTTTATTATAATAAAAAAAATTAAATATGACTGTTTTTAAAATTTTTTTTATTATAATAAAATTTAAATTTTAAACTCGAATCGGTAAAATGAACGGGCTTTAAACACGATTTAATTATTAATAGTGAATTTTTGGATAATAATTTCATGGCCAAAAATCTGTTATCTAAAGATGTTTAAGCTCACTGAGTACTATTAATGTTTCTCACAACAACGTTTAATAAAACGATTAAAAGTAAGTAATCTTCCCTTTCTATATTGCCTGCAAGTTGCACTTGGCGTGATTTCTAAGACCAAAAAAGCCATGACGCAAAAATATAAAAAATTGACAATTTGACAGAAATGATTCTTTTTTTTTTTGGCCAATCACAAATGAATTCATAGATTTTTTTTTTTGGCTAATCGAATTCATAGATAATTTAATCAGCATATCATGACTTTTGGTTAGGAAAAAAAAAAAAAAAAGGTTATCACCATTCTGACGTTCACGTGGGCGGCGAGTCAGTGGTCGGCGAGTCAGTGGTCCTCACTCGATTTATACATGCCAACTATATTTCCTAACCCAAAAAAATGTTCATGTGAATTAGCTTCTTTCCTTCCTTAGATTCTTTTTGGAACAGAATTAGCTACAATAAAATGTATAATGTACTAAAAGTAATAGGGAGTTTCCCTTATATGACTGATAAAAATAATTATCAGTAATTTTTTATATTGTATATTTTTTTAATTTGATATGATTTTTAAAGTTAATTTAATGATCAGAAATTAATTCTATTAATAGACAACCGGTCTATCGAAAATGTTTTGAAAACAATAATTCTCACGATCTTGGAAACGTGAATGCAACTTTAACAACTTTAACAACTTTTTGAGGCTCTGTTCAATTCACAAATTTGAGTTTTCAATTCGAGTTAAGATGTAATTTTATATGAGAGCTTTTTATCGTAATAAAAAAAAATGGACGTGATTTTTAATGAAACTTTTTAACTATAACAAAATTAAAATTAAAACTTAAATTAATGAAATAAACAGGGTCTAAAAAGATCAACCTTTTTGACGTCTCATGCCTTGTATGTGGTTGGCTTCCTTGTAATTCCCTCTTCCTCGACTACGGTTCTTATATATAGTTGCAAGGATAAACTTTGTACGCTTGTCAATAATAAATTAACTAAACAAATTATATGCACAATTAGTTAAAAGTTTATTTGTGAATAATGTTTTTTTTGCTATTATTTGTTAATCGTGTTTTGAAAATTGTTCAATTGTTATATCTTTAAGTAGTAGTTAAAATTCAATGAATAGTTTAAGGTATTTTGCGCTCATGCTTTTGAACTGTTTCTGCGTATTGATAAGTTGCTTCATGCGCTGATAGTGTTAGTAAGTTGCCCATCATGACTTAAATAAAGCATTACAAAATGGCCTCAAACAGATTACAGTTACTAAAATTTAAATTAAATAAAAAAAAAGCTCTTTTGCATTTCGTGTGAGCTTGTTTCAAATATATATATAAACTGAAATTTCAGACAACGATGAAACACGTTCCATAATTTTAGCAGCTGTAATCGAGTTGATAACATTCTCTAATACTGTGTTGAATTTAAGAGATCAGTTTCCGAAATTTGAAGTTTATTAAACTACGTATCCATTTAAGGACAAAAAAAAAAAAAAAGGACCAAAGCGTGAACAACGTGTTTGGTATGGGGATTCGTGTCATAATTTAAATCATGATTCGTGACTCACTACAATATATTTTCTAATAAAAAATACACGTAAATTGAGAATAGTTCTTAATTATGATTCTGAATTTATGAACCAAACGTTCACTTAATAATTGTGTGCGTCTAGTACTGTCTAGTATAATAGAATACGCGTTGGAGGATATCAAACGGCACTGGAAATTCCTTATAAAACCGATGGCTTGGAAAATTGGTCTGCGAGTTTTGGTATTATTGGAACATGCTATCAAATACAACGTTTCTGGCCAAAATTCAATCCAGCGTTAAACGACAACAGAACGCGACGTTGTCGGTTCACGTGAAGGTTGGGATTTCATAACAAATTCTCTTGCCTTGTTTGGAACATTACGCGAAAGTGTTCCCCGCTGCGATTTCTTTGGCATGTATTATTATGTATATTTTGAATAAAAGTAAAACAAATTGGTTCAGCATTTTTTTTATTTCTGAAAATAGAAAGATTATAGGGATAGGAGACGTGACGAAGTCTTAATTTGGGAGGTTTGTACAATGCAGTAGGATTTATTCCACTCTAAGATCTTGCCAAAAGGGGGAGCAAAGTTACTTTGGTTTATTTTTGTTTTTTAAACTCAACTTTGGTTTAATTTAGTTTTTTATATTTGATTTTAAGCACAATCGCTTATTTTTTTGTTTTTCCGTGATAATTGAGTAATTTTCTAATAATCATTTCTTACTTGACTTGAACACCAAACAATAAAGGAGCCAAGAAATTTTTTTGCCCGGGAGGCACATTTGCCCCATGGGTACACCAAGGTTAAATAGGTTTGAAATATGGTTATTTAAACTTTTGTGGTTTGTAATGAAAAATGTGAAAGTGTGGTTTGAATTTGTAGTTTGAAATAACAATTAGATATTAGTTGAGACAAATGTGGTTTGAATTTGTAGTTTGAAATAAAAATCTGAGCCGGTTTGGACCCGACGACCTAAAGGAGATATTTGAGCCGGGCAAAGCGACCAAGCTCGGCCCTATAGTTTAACGAGCTAAGACCGGATTGGATTGACTCATAATTTTACAAGAAATTTTCATTTAAAAAAAACACACACACACTCTGACCTAAAAAGTAGTTTTAAATTTATAGTATCAACCTAGCTCAAACTGAGAGTTAAAACCGGCCCCGCCCAATCTGAACTAATAGTAACAGGCTCTGAATTGGTCTAAACTTACGACTTTAATGGAATCGCACGCCAAAACCTGCAGATAAAGAAGTTTAGCTTGGTAAATACTCAATAAGAAGAGCAAATTGCTCCAAGTTAATTGTTCAACCATTGATAATAAAAATACGTTTTTTAGATCACATCGAAATTTCGATTTAAGTAAGATAAAAACAGAAATTTATGAACTAAACTCGATAATAAATACATATAACAAGTTGCACGTCAAATCCGTCACAACTTTCTTTTCCATATAACGATTTGATGGGATAATCCTTTCTTGTCAATTAATATTATAAATCCACAATCCATCTCCATAAAATAAAATAAAAAAAAAAAAAAAAAAAAAAAAAAAAAACACACACACACACACACGCACACAAAACAAACAACATATGTTTTTCTTTTTTTTTTATTTAATTTTTTTATAACAAGTTGTATATGGGAAGTAAAATACAGGAGGAAACAGCAGCAAAGGGAGCTCTTACGAGAATGCAGTTGGCTAAGCAACTTCTTCAGGCGCTACGTGTCGCAAGTAGACATTAGATTCAGCACCGGACCCATATCGATTTAAAAAAAAAAAAAAGAATTAGAAGAAAGAAAAGAAAGCTCTTTAAATACGGTGTGCATTAGAGCGTTTCATCAGCAAACACACAGAGGCCTCTTCTCCCCTTACTCGGATCCAAAAGTCCAACCAAATTTCAACACACATTAGAAGCTTCCCTCTGTTTTCCTTCCTAATTGTAATATTTTTTTGTTTTCTTCATGGGCTTTGGCTCGAAGCAGTCCTCCATCTCCACCGCCACAAAATGGCTGGGATTCGTGACGGCCGTTTGGGTCCAGGCAATCTCCGGCAACAATTACACCTTCTCCAACTACTCCGACGCCCTCAAGGCCCTCATGAACCTCACACAGCTGCAGCTCAACAATCTCTCCGTCGCTAAAGACATCGGAAAAGCCTTCGGCCTACTCGCCGGTCTCGCCTCGGACCGCCTACCCACCTGGTTCATTCTCCTCATCGGATCCCTCGAAGGCGTCGTCGGCTATGGCGCCCAATGGCTCGTCGTCAGCCAGCGAATCAAACCTCTTTCTTATTGGCAGGTAAGTAACCATCAAAACAATAGTAATAACAGTCTCAATTGAATATGTTTTCACTGTTTAGTGCAGAAAAAATTAATTTGTGAATTTTCAGATGTGCGTGTTTTTGTGCATGGGAGGGAACAGCACGACCTGGATGAACACAGCGGTGCTGGTGACGTGTATGAGAAATTTCCGGAAGAACAGAGGCCCGGTCTCGGGTATACTGAAAGGCTACGTGGGCCTGAGCACGGCCATTTTCACGGACCTTTGTTCGGCCCTATTCAACGACGACCCGGCCCGTTTCCTCCTCATGCTCTCTATAACCCCTCTCGCCGTCTGCTTCACCGCCATGCTCTTCCTCCGCGAGATCCCGTCCTCCAACTCCTCCGCCGCCGACGATAAGGAGGAGTCCGGCTACTTCTGGCTCTTCAATGGCGTCGCCGTTGTCGTCGCGCTTTACCTCCTCGCCTTCGGCTTCCTTCCAAACCCTAGCAAGCTCGTATCTCACATCTTCGCCGCGATTCTCCTCGTCCTCCTCGCTTCACCGCTTGTTATTCCGGCCTACTCGTTCTTCGCGAGCCGGAAGGGAGCGGGCTCGGACGTCGAGGGACAGGCGGCGGGCGAGGCGCCGCCGAAACCGGGAAGCGGGGGGGGGGGGCCGGGGGGGGGGGGAGCCGCTGCTGAAGCCGGAAATCGCGGCGGAGAGTGAGTCGAAGGCGGCGGCGGTGGCGGAGGAGGAGAACGCCGGCGAGGAAGTGAAGCGGAGGCCGGTGATCGGAGAGGAACACACGATTCCGGAGGTGCTGAGGAGCTTGGATTTCTGGATCTTGTTTGTGTCGTTTCTGTGCGGCGTGGGAACGGGTCTAGCGGTCATGAACAATATGGGTCAGATTGGTTTGGCTCTCGGATACGCCGACGTTTCGATTTTCGTTTCGCTCACTAGCATTTGGGGATTTTTTGGGCGGATCGTTTCGGGTTTGGTTTCGGAGTACTTCATCAGGTATTGCTTAGCTCTGTTCCTTAATCTATAATCAATTTATTATTTTTATTTTTAATTAATTATGTCTCGGCAAAGGAATAACTTTCTTTTTTTGGTTATAATTCTCAATTCAACTTGGTGTTAAATGAGTTGAGATTGTGATTTTTTTTAAAATTTTTTTATTATAATAAAAAAAATTAAATATAATATTTTTTTAAAAATTTTTATTATAAAAATTTAAAATTTAAAATTTAAATCGTGAAATTACATTTTAAAATTCTGATGACGTGCACTTGCTTTTCCGGAGTCGATTTTTTTTTTTCTTCTGTGGGGCACGGGCTAGAATATAAGTCAAATAAACCTTTTGCTTGAGTGGTCAGATTTTTTCTGTCACGTTAAATTCTGATTCTAAGATATGACAATTGACAAGAATGGTGGGTTAGGTTTGGGTTTAAAAATTGCCGATAATTGTTTGAGGGAAAAATCAATGTTGGTTCTTTCTGGAAATTTCTTTTTCTTTTGGCCCCAGATATAGTGACCGGGTGTTCTAAAGGGGTAGTTAGGATATTTGGTAAAAGTATATCTACAAATTGGAATAATGCTTCTTTTGAAATGGAAGTTAGAATTTAGAAGAATTTTAGACTTTCTCAAGCTCCTATAATTTCATGTATATTTTTTTAACCAAGCTCATTTAAATTCACATAGTTTTTTAGTTCTAATATAAATTTGGTGGGTTTCCTTAAAAAAAAAAAAATGATGTGATATTATTCCGGAATGCACACCACTATAGAGTATTTTATTTTGTATATTCTTATGGTATCCCTTTTTTTTTTTTTGGTTAAAAATATGAAATTTGGCCTCATTCACTTTGTAGATTTGAGTTTTCAATTCGAGTTGAGATACGACATTTTTTAAAAGTTTTTAATTGTAGCATAAAAAGTTAAATGTGATTTTTTTTAGAGCTTTTAACTCTAAAAATTTAAAATTAAAAACTTAAATTGGTAAAATAACCACAGTCTAACATTTATTTTTTTTAGTGGCTTTCTAGAAGAGCTCCTTCTTTTTAGTCAAAGAAACAAAAAAAAAAAACCAAATTCGCATTATTCACTATCTACAGTATAAAATGTTAGGTGGCGACATGTTTAGGAAAGAGCGTAGATTTAGTACTGTGGTCCGGTTGAAGTTTCCATGCATCTTTACTTAGCCAAACAGGACACACCCATTTTTTTGTCCCATCATAGAAGTGCGTAAAGAAAAATCAAAATAGCCATTTATCTCTGTTTGTTTCTTGGGAATCCAATGTCTTATCCACATCTCTTTTTTGTGCCCACCACACACTCACACACAAACTCATTCAGTCATTCCTTCTGTGAAACAAAGTAATTATTTTAATCTTATGACTTTCATACTCTACCGGTTGGATTCTGTTTTAACCTGTTGTATTTGTATCAGTTTTGTAATTTGTTTTGCGGAGTTTGACTGTTTGATGTGATTTTAATTAAATATAATTTCAAAAGCAAGCATAATCTTAGAGCCTGTTTAGTTCGTTTATTTGAGTTTTTAATTTGAGTTTATATGTGACTTTATGTGAGAGCTTTTTACTGTAACAAAAAAGTTAGATATGACTGTTTCTGAGAACTTTTTACTGTAACAAAACTCGAATTCTAAACTCAAATCAGTGAAATGAACAGAACCTTAGAGTACCCTACCGCAAAAGCTCCTAAATTTTAAACCAATTAAACTTCCACCTAAATTTCTTGGTTTGAAGGTCAGGTTGTTAATTGGGACATGCCAACCGACACAAGACTTAACACTTGGAGAATGTTTTGGCACGTTATCAACAATATTTGGGTGTAACGTGTATAGATGTGTGTAAATATAAATGTGCAGATTATATACGAATATATAACATTTAGCGTTGTGTTTTTTATACTGCAGGAGAGCTGGAACGCCTAGGCCACTTTGGAATGCTGCTTCTCAGATTCTCATGGCTGTTGGCTACATACTCATGACAATTGCTATGCCTGGTTCGCTCTACATTGGTTCAATTGTTGTGGGAATTTGCTACGGCATCCGCCTGGCTGTCACGGTCCCCACAGCATCTGAACTATTTGGTCTCAAATATTATGGTCTAATTTACAACATTTTGATTCTCAACCTCCCTCTCGGATCCTTCCTCTTCTCCGGGTTGCTCGCCGGACTACTCTACGATATGGAGGCCACCACCACGGCAGGCGGCGGCAACACTTGTGTCGGCGCACACTGTTACAGGCTTGTGTTTCTGGTGATGGCTATTGCTTGCATTGTTGGTTTTGGTTTGGACATTTTGTTGTCCTTTAGAACGAAAAACCTCTACAACAAGATTCAAGCGAGCAAGAAATCAAAGAAAACGGCTGTTCTTAAATGAGTGATGATCAAACCCATGTGCCACAGAATCAGAGGATTGATGGGCTTTTTTTTGCCCACGTGATATCCCCAAATTCATCATCAGCTAGTTTGCCATTTTTTAGAAGAAGGAAGAAATGGTTCTCCCGTAAGATTGTCTACCACTAGTTGTGTGATAACTTGTAAGTTTGTTGTAAACTTGTAAGAATCAATTTTGTGCAATTCTTCGGTCCAATGCAAGGATAGTTTTGTGAGAAAATTAGGTGTCTATAATTGTTTGGGCCTCGTTTTTGCTTGAATAATGTGTTAACATTTGGCCATTCTATTAAAATATTCCGAATTGCGTTCAAGTATAACTCTAGTAGTTTGCTGTCATTTTCTCAAAGACTTTGTGTTCAAAGTAGGGATTGAATTCTTGATTCATGATCTCCAATAGGATGCTGAGTTTGTCGAACCTTAAAGCTAGAGCCAAGTGATGAGTGTGATACTTCGTCCAAGTGTAACCAAGTTCTGTCTCCTAAAATATGTAAATAATAAAACAATGCAGGACTTTCTGCGCTTTATTCATAGCCACAAATCACAATCTTGTGGTGGAAGGAGTGGTGAAATTAGAGGAAGTGGATTCTATCTCAATATTTTTTGCTCTTTAAGCCATCCCAACTGAAAAGCCTCCCACGCCCCCTCTACAAACGCCTCAAAAAAGGGAAAAAACAAAAAAAGGAAAAAAGAAAGGAAATATATTATGAGTTGAAAAAAAGAGTTCCGTTGCCGGGACTTGAACCCGGGTCTCTCGGGTGAGAGCCGAGTATCCTAACCACCTAGACTACAACGGAAGGTTGTTATGTTTTTGCTATAAACTTTATTATTGCATTCTTTGGCTTAACACCGAATATTCTCTAGTAACGTATGACAATTGATAACATTCGTGATAATAAACTATCATACAAAAAGTAACATTAACATTGACAAGTAGTATTTTTCTTTACTCTTTCATTAAAGGTCAGTTTTATTAACCAAGATATCATACTAGAACTTGTTTCTTGTTTGGGTTTTCTGAAAGGTACGAGAACGAGAGAGATAGCCAATTGCGGTGTGAAAAAAAATGAAATGGAGATCAGAAGGGGGGAGAGAGAAAGAGAGAGAGGGCGTGGTGGGGGCTGGGTTCGTTCTTTAGTTCTGAGTGTGCAAGGCTTCTTTTTCCTTCTTTTTTTTTGAAAAAAAATGTTTGTTTTATCAGGGAAATAACTACTAAGGCCCGTTCGGTTTTTTAATTCGAGTTGAGATGTGATGTTGTATTAGAGTTTTTTACTGTAACAAAAAAGTTTGATGTGACTGTTTCTGAAAATTTTTTACTGTAACAAAACTTGAATTCTAAACTCGAATCAGCGAAAAGAACGGGGCCTAAATACCCCTTAGAAGAGTCGCGTGAGTGATAAAATCTGTCAAAAACTTAACATAAATTATCTAAAGAACATTCAATACAATAAATTTTAAAATTTAAAGAGTCGATTATAAAAATTTTTAATTCAAAAATCAATCCGTCAAACACGAAAAGTGCAGGGAGTCTCATTCAAAAAAACCATTAAAAAATCTGCAGGAAGGAAGCTTCATGAGTATAAAAATAACAAAAAGACTTTTCCTAGGTTCTGTTTGAACCTTACCGTTGGACACTTGAACCCCACAACTGAAATCGTTCAAAATCTTGCAGCCCCTTTCCCTCATAAATGAGGACAAGTATGAATCGTGGTACATCCAACTTAAGCCAATTATTATTAACTAGATCATGTAAATATGGAGATTCCACGTGAACCACATAAAATTTTCAAATACACACAAGACAAAATATCACTAGGGATCAAAACAAAGATGGCTTTACTTGGTGGCAGATGTCAGCTATTTCATGCCTTAATGAGGCGCTTGTCCTTAAATCCTTGCAATTTACCGACAGTCCTTTTGGTTTTTTCATTTCATAAACATTTCAAACTTTAAGAGAATTTATATTATTAATTCTCACCCTCCATCCCTCACCTCTAAGCTCTAGCCAAGGATTAATAATAGCTAGGCCAAGTTCAATATTTCAAGACCAGAATAAATTAGGGGGTGAAGAAAACGACAAGCTTAGATAATAATTGAAATTCTCGGCTGATGAATGTGACAGAAATGCATCCAATACAAAACATAAAGTAAAAATGTCATTCCACAACCTATTACAAACAACTCAATGATTAGTTTGCTTGATTTAATTATTTTGCTTTATGAAGTGAACTTAGCTTATTAATCTTATGTTTCTCATCTAGTTCACTTCAAATCTACTGAGTGCTATATTTTTTTTAAAAAAAAATCTCTTACACCGTATTTGTAAGGAATAATCTCTGAACTAAACAAATTGTGTATAACAAGAAGAAGAAGAAGAGAACAAAAACGGCAGGTTGTTTCTGTCTGGTGAACAACAATAAATCAAAACGTTGCGTTTTAGTAATGAAGAGTTGAAGCAAGCAACTCAGCGACACGTGGCTACAGAGTCGGTGTTATCTTCTTTTCTACTGGTGTATATATATGTAATATACAGGTTGTTCTAGGGTTAGCAGAAAATTTGGGGATCTTGTTTTGTTTCCTGATTTCAGAGAGAGAATTCCAGAGAGTGAGAGAGATTGTACAAATCCAGTGAGAGAGAAGAAATCTGTAAAGAGAGGTTTACTCTGGGTGTTCCTTTGTAAATACTGTGCGATTTCTTTGGGTAGTCTCGGGGTGTTTGGGATTTTCTCTATTCAAGCTTGTAATCGTGAGATCTAAGTTGTACTCTTCTTCTTGATAGTGGAATAGCTCTTGTGGAGGAGCTCAACAGGATGTAGGTCAAACATTTTGGCCGAACCTGTATAAATTCTGGTGTTGTGTATTCTTGTTTATGTTTTCTCTATTTTTCTGTTGATCTTCTGGGATTTTGGTGTTAGATTCGTTCTAATAGTGGTATCAGAGTCGACGGTTAATTGCCGATCGCGAAAGGCTCATAAAGGTTTTAGAAGATCCGACGGTTCTTGAGGAATCTTAGAGAAATCTTGAAGAATGGGTACTGCGAAGTTTGAGCTCAAGATGTTTGATGGTACTAGTGATTTTGGGCTATGGCGGAAGAAGCTTTGAGGCTTGAGCGATCTTGGTCCAGCGGAAAGTTGCTAAGGCTCTCGGCGACATGAAAGAAGTAACGGGGATTGAAGCGGAGAAAGAGGAGATGCTGGAGATAGCCCATTCTACCATCATATTGTACCTTGCGAACAACGCGTTAAGGCAAGTCAACGACGAAGATACGTCAGCTAAGGTGTGGCTTAAACTAGAACAACTCTATATGACTAAATCCTTAACAAATAAAATCTATTTGAAAGAGAGTTTGTTCAGTTTTAAAATGGATACTACTAAAAGTCTTGAGAAGAATCTTAATGCATTTAACAAGATCGTGATCGATCTTGCGAATATTGGGGAAAAGATCGAAGAAGAGAATTAGGCAGTTATTCTCCTGATTTCATTGCCTGAGAACTTTAGGGAAGTCAAAAACGCCATTAAGTATGGTCGTGACAGCCTCACCCTAGAGAATGTCTTGTCTGCTCTGAGGTCTAGGGAGTTGGAGATCCAAAAAGAAATGGTTCAAAGGAAGGACACCAATGGAGATGAGGGTTTGTTTTCTAGAGGCAGAACCCCTAAAAGGGAATTTGGGAACAAACCCTTCTCTAGATCCAAGTCAAGGAATGATTAGAGGAAGTGTTTCTTTTGCAAAAAGCCAGGGCACATAAAGCGGTTTTGTAGAGAATGGAAGAAGAAGGAGATGCAGCGATGGCAAGTCAGGATCATGGTTATGATAGTCCTGAGATATTGGGTGTTGGAACAAACAGAGGAGAGTCAGAATGGATCCTGGATTCTGGCTGTACGTACCACATGTGCCCACATTAAGCCTGGTTCTCAAACTATGAAAGAATTGATGGTGGGAAGGTCCTAATGGGAAACAATCACTCATGCACAGTAATTGGATCTGGAAACATTACTGTGAGGTCAAGTGATGGTAGTTATCATGTTTTAAAAAATGTGAGACACATCCCTGAGTTGAGAAGGAATTTAATTTCCTTAGGATCATTGGATGATGAAGGATATTCATATAAGGCTCAAGGTGGAGTCTTGAAGATTCTTAAAGGGGCCTCGATAGTGATGAAAGGAGAGAAACAACATGGTCTCTATGTCTTTAAAGGGCAAACAGTAACAGGGACAACTGCATTGATCATCAGAGAAAAATCCAAGGTTGAAATATGGCACAGAAGGTTGGCCCACGTTAGTGACAGAGGGCTACAAGAGTTAAGTAAACAGGGACTACTTAGAGAGGACAAGATAAACCAACTAGACTTCTGTGAACAATGTGTTAGGTAAACTGTTAGGAATGATGTCCTAGAAGTATAAGATGTAATAGGATATTTATTATTTATTTAATAAAAGAGTTTATTCATCATTTTATGTGTATATATTCATGAATATTTTATGAAAAATAATAAAAATTTCATGATTATTTATGTAACCTTAAACATTGTATATAAGTGTTATATACGAGAGGATAATGTTTAAGGATAATAATAAAAAAGTAATGTTCATAATGACTTTAATTAAAGTTCAGAATCTTTAATTAAAACATTATTAATACATATCATTCTCATTTAGAATGGAACGGTGTTATCCGCACTGTTAATATAGTGAGATATTGAATGAGTGTATTTCGCATAATGAGATTATGTGGAACAAGGATACAAACACAATATGAATTTCTAATAATTTCGTTAAGTATAGAAATTCTAATTGAGTCTACCGATGGTTATATATAGGATGGTCTTAATCCTGAGTTCTTAACAGACTCCTATTTATGGATTTGTGTCTTTTGATTTACTCGGTACGGATTCTAAGATCCTGAATCCTATTCCTTGTATTTTAGAGATATGATGAAGTAGGTAGTCGGGAATGTTATTACACGAGATGGAATCCATTCCTTCTTAAGAAAGAAGTAGATAAATAATTCTCTTGAGGGTTGATTCGGTACTTGGACCAGTAGGAGCTCCGATTCATGAATGTGTTTTATGAATCACTGTCCATTAGAGAATTAATGGTACTCAAGGATAAAGAAGTAATTAGAGAGGTTAACGAATTTTACCTTGCTCTAATTATGAATTATTTATGGATGATTGATCTATATGCAATGACTATATCAAATGGACACTTCACAGTTTAGAAGTAATTTATGTCTATAATTTTGAGAGTGCAATTCTAAGTTTATAGTAGAGTAACTATTGGAATTAATAGAATTAA